CGGTAACACAAGAAGCTAGATAATAGCGTAGCATAAGTATTGTAATACCAAAACATTAATATAATTAATTATTCCTAATACCATTTTCCTCTATTATAAAGGAATAAAATCTTATTATAAGAAAACGCTCGAAATTCTCGTGTCAGTCAACGTGTCAACTGAATTAACTTATGATAGACTTGGTAGACCTGTGCCTTAGATGCGGCAACGAGTGTAGGATATTTACGGACTGTATATGTACGAATAGGTGCCAGACTGAAGAGGAGCGAGAAAGGCTCTTACGTGTTAGTAGCCCTCTATTGGCAGAGTAGGAAAGGTGCCGCCACAGAACTATGAGTGTGCTCTTGAGATTAGACAGGAGTCAGGTTTGTAGAATTTTTGGTAGAGGAAAGAAGGAAGGCAAAATGGACTTGTTTTATGGATGATGTGTGTGTATGTGTGAATATAGTATTGTATTTTATAAAAGTTACATGAGGATGTGATGGTAATTTACCATTGACTGTAGCAATTGAGGAAGCTGGTTTTTATGGAATAAGTTTTATTTTTGGAAGCAGAAAGAAGAGATACTATAACAGTCGTTTCTTTAATTGCTGCAGTGAGGAATGAATTGGTTTTATGCTTTCTTGAGATCTTTATGAAATCTAAAGGTTCAAAAGTTGAAAAAAGCTTTGTACTCGAAGCGGTATGCTTGTAGTTTCTTAGAAATATTGCACGAGTATTCAGATCTCAATTTACTTGTGTTGAAGTGTATGATATTCAATAATTTGCTGAAAAAAACTCTATCATGATTTCAATGTTTGTAGACTTCTTCTAAAAAACACTAAGTCCCAAAACTAACAAACTTTCTTATCAGCAAATGTTCTAAGTAGCATATAAATACAGTAGTATACAATTTATGTCAACTTTCCTTCCCGGAATAACAATCAATACCAAAAGGCAACATTATTAGACAGTAAAGACATCGTAGCGTCAACCTTCTCCTTTCTCCAAAAAATTTGTTATTCACCCCTCAAATTGTCTCCTCCAAATACTTTTCAATTATAAACAAAAAACAAATAGACAAAAGAGATAAAGTACAGTGAGACCCCGGACTTACGTCCTAATTGGTTCCGGAGCAGGCGACGTAAGTCGAAAAGCGCTTAAGTCGCGGTACAGAGGATAGACATATATGCATGTATGCATATATACATTTTCTTTCAGATATATAAAAACGATAGGGGAGATTACATTTAACAAATGTTTACGAATAATACTCACGAATTAAATTATTACTAATGAAACAACTCACAATTGCTTTTGGCAAATTGATTTGTTAGTTAATCTGAAAACCTTGTATTCCACCATCAAACAGTTTTATTATCTTTAATCTAATTTCTAAACTTATAATATTTCTATTTTCAACAATATAATTTAAAGATGATGACATCTGGCGCTGTGGTGCTATTACACATAAATAAACAATGGTCTTAACTCTCGATTAATTACATGCATGTACTTATGATTACTGTAAATATATTTCTATTAGTTCTTACACTGTGTATAAATCATATAATCTGAAATTATTTACCCATAAAAATCCTTTACTTAACAAACTTTCATACTAATTCAATTGAAACTAAACACGTAGAGCAAGAAATATTGGTTAAAAACAATTAACTACCGTGTTACATAGAGACGACGTAACTGTGAAACGATGTAAATCGGGTGGACGTAACTCAGGGGCCCACTGTGCATCATTTTGATCCAGTTTATTCCAACATTAATCCCGTGCCAACGTTCAAAAATCAACGACGCATCTGCGCAGAGGCTGCCCGTTTCCCTAAAATCGTAAAAAGGAAAAGTGAAAAGAAGAAGGGAACGCGAGGCCGTCGGGTGTCGGGCGACAAAAGCCAGCCAGCCCCGCATAAACTCGCAGAGAACGACAAACCGTTTTGCAAGCCGCAACGAACGATCCGGGCCGGCAGCAGTCCCGCTAAATAATCATAACTCAGAGAGACATTTGTAACGCCAGCCTCTCGCTCGTATTTATCGCTGTTGTTGGACGGTTTGTTGCAGCAATAACGGTAATGGGCCGGCACCGCCTGGCCACTCTCCACCCCCGCCGCTGCCGCGACCCTCGAATCCGCCGGCAACGGCGGCCACCCCTCGCGCAAGCGATTTATCCTCGGGTAATTAGCACGGGTAATAATTAATGCCGCCGCGCATTGTGCTAATTATCACCGGAGAACCTTTTAAGAAATGAAAGAACATTCGAAATAAAACAAAGGGTGGACCACCGGACCGCGGCTGGGACGGCCGAGGACGCGGCGGGGAGAGGGGTTCAGAGATAAATAGGATGACGGAAGGATATTTGCAAACCCGGGAACGAGACTCCGAGATAACTGGCAATAATGTGATAGGATGCGGCGCGATGAACGTCGAATGAGATGAATATGATCGAACGTTTGAATAAAGTCTGCTTCGAACAGTGTTGAGCGAAAGATGTTCAAGATAACGCGTAAGGAATAACGAAGAAATGATTTCCCGATTATTAGAATCTTAACACTAAAACTACCAGGCGGGTCAGAATGATTCGTTCCTGATGTCTTCTTCTTGCAATTATTAAAAAGATAACAAATGTTCCTCTGGGAAATTATTAAAGAAATTGATTCAGCGCCACGAAAATTGAATTTTACATCAATGAAAGTTTCAAAAGATGCACTCTTGGAATTTCTAAAGAGAAATTTCAAAAAGTCAATTTAACTGCTCGGTAGTTTTAGTGTTAAAAGTATGAAACATCCAAAACAATTCTAAAAATAAATGGTTTCACTTGAGTACTGTATTGAATATATGGAAGAAACGAAAGAAATCTATTGTTAGAATTTTTATAAGAATTGCGTATTCATCATAAATACTAAAACTTTTTTACTAAAAAAACGTTTTTAATAAAACTTGCCTGTAAAACGAGGTATTTTAATGATATAAAAATATCTTAATGTCTGTGTATTAAAACAACGATAATTATGTTTATAGTTAATATATAATATAATATATAATCTAGTATCTTAACACAATTCGAGAATTCTCGTTTTCCGATGTGAATGTATTAATATATCCATCATTCACACATAATGAATGAATTGAATTTATTTGCCATTTTTTATTCGTTATGGAATTAAAGGATGAATAGTAAATAACGATTAATTATAGTTTCGTTATTATTATTACAATAAAGTTTTATTTCGATTATGTCCAACCGGTTTCAGAAAATTTTGGTGATGGTAACAATAATGATCAGGAAAATATTCTAAAAAATTTTGTGATGAGATATTGTATGTGAAATATAAATAAAATTATTTTTGTAGCAATTTGATTTTAAAGATTATTTTTTTTAACCCTGCAGAAATTATTTTTCAATTTCTATTTGATCACTTGTTAAGTAAGTATACATATCCTTGATTATATTTAATTCGTTTCATCTACTTCGTCGTTTAGGAAATAAGACAACAAGTCTACATAAAAATAAAGTATTTACGTAATATGAGAGCCAAATGATAAGACGATGATTGACACGTTAGACGTAACGAGATATAATGAGATACATGTGATTACGTCAGTACATTTTTACAAAGACTTTACAATCATAAATCTGAATGGTGACGTTTAAATAAATGTAAAATGCAGTATATATTTATAAACATTCAAATTACTGTAATAATTAAAGTTATACATTCATAAATATTATAGTGACTTTGTACAAATATTCTTAATATTGATTTAAACAACTGTTACTTGTTAATGATTTGTAAAAGAAAATACCATTCTTCTGAATAACGGACAATTAGTTTTCTACTCAATATGTTAAGAATTAAAAGCTAACGTAACTAATTACTTAGTAATAAACTTTAAATAGATTTTGAAAAATATTAAGAATAATTTTCACTAAATTAAATTATGCATTGTTAGGTGAATTGAGTTGATAATTTTATTTTAAAGGAAGTTTGCCAATCTATTCTCTTGACATTCAGTCGATCTTATTATGTTAAATTAATATGTAATAGTTGCAAAAACTAGGAAAATAAATATAAATATTTACTATCTAGTAATTAACAATTATATTTTTAAAGTTTTAACTTTGTACTGCCATCTAGGCAACACATGTAGAACAGTACAGGTTATTTGATGTACCATCAAATCAAAACTTATCGACTTTTTAATATTATCATAGATGTTACCTTGTAAGCTAGTTCATTTATCACTAATTTTGTTAATAGAAATAGAGTATTTGATATACTTTATTCCCACTGCGAATACTCACTGTAACAGGGGTAACAAATGCATGCGACGCGTATATTTAAATGTTGAAAGAGCAGAATGGAATGTAATGTTGAAGAATTGCAGCTGTTATTGATTTACCAATGCCAACAATTCAACGCATACGTTTATTTTATAAATTATCCAACATAAGTAATTAGCTGTACTTTTGTACGAATAACTATCTTTTTTAATTACGTATTCCAAAAACGTATTCCAAATAACGTTCAGCTTATTTAAAAATATCAATACGATCTTATAGAGTCATTGAACGCATATAGAATTGTTTCTTTATTTCTTTACGTATTTTGAACGAATGCTTGAAGGTTTATAAAAGTGATATAAAATTAGAACACCTGTAATTGGAATTCAACATATTTATGTATTAGTTTAAAAACAATATCTATGCTACCTTTTTGAACATCTCTTAAAGTTCTAATAAGTTAATGTTTTAATTATTTTTCTTTATGTTAATGATAAAGCGGTTTTTAATTTTAAGCTAAAAAGTAAATCAAAAAAATTGTTATTTGCGATTAATCTCGTGAAATTATAGAAATATTTTATGAAAAATTAATGATCGCTTCCGCTGGGAAAATTTAAAAAAATGGGACGAATTAAATAACAATTGCGAAATAATAGATTGATTCTGATCAATGAGAGAAGGACATTTTTTTTATAAGGATAACATTTTTTTTTTCAATTAGTATCAATCTTTAAATTCCATATAAAATGTACATGTACACACGCGTGCGCACATATTATTTTTGCTTTTGACTTTTTTCACATTATATATAGTAGTAAAATTAATAAATATGGTATAAAACCGATCAATAGATATTTGCGAGGTTTTAATTATTTTAGATTACATAATTAATAGACACTGACATAAAATCTTTATTACAAAAAATAAATTAATTCATTCTACATACAAAAATACATAACTAATATTAATAATACTCTCTATTCGGTGATGATTTAATAATTATACTGCTATTTATGTACCTTATTATCAAAGCATGACAATGATGACACTGGTAAAATTAATAATGTATAATGTACAATACATAATATGTAAATGTCATGAGTCTCAGTAAAGATATAAATCTTCAAAACATATGCTTTGAATTTGTGTTCTGAGAAAAGAGAATGTTTACTAAGACTTAAGTATAAAATTTATATAAAAAATTTTTTAAACAAATTAATCGCAGCAGTCTCTATTTTAATAATTACTTGTGAGTATATTACACGCACAGTTAAACTTATGAGATAAATTATGAGATTAGAAAGAATTATGGCTTCTTATTTCATTTACAAAACGTTTACATGTACTAATTTGTACAAAATATTTTATTTGTATGTGCTCAAAAACTTAGATAAAATTAACGAAAAAAATTTTGTACATTTAATTTTTAAATTTCTGAATAGCAAATCGACATAAAATTTTCCAATTGTAAATTTTAATATATATTAATCTTGTAACTCGATGTTGCACATCAAATATAAAAGTTAAATTTCTGATGCATAACATAAGCTTTCTATATTAAAGTCACATTTTGTACAACCTTAATGTAAATTTTTTTATCTTCTCCTTACGTCATATACATTGCAAACAATTTTTTAATACTCGAAAGTATAGTTCAATGTTTCAAATGAAAAGATAATTATATTTATTGTACTACAACAATTTAATTTTTCTTAAAGTCTATGAAGACTCTATCTATTTCATAAGAAAAAAGATTTATTAAAGATCCAGTCTTGACCTACGATATTATGTCATAACGTTCTGTGAAAACATGTGACTAAGGGTTTCTATCTCACTTATATTGGAGTACGTTTTTATGCATTCGATATAGACAATTTATAAAATTATGAGATAATTAATCATTGTAAAAATGGTTTTCTCTCTTTACAATTTCACTTGTTCTCTAACTAACGTATAGATCTTAATCGTTAACTATTACTCTATCTATTAACCGGGAAATTGTACTTTCGTATTTGCTTTTAAAATTACATTAACGTTTGCTGTCACGATAATAAAATACAACAAACGAATTATTAATATTTCTATGAATATACATATATCAATTTTAACTTATTGGTCCCTAAAATAAAAATCTTCTAATAGTGTTGTACTAATAGTGTTGTTCATCTAATAAAGTGCTTTAAATTAAAAAATATCTAGCCTCTTCTAACTACATTTTGCATTTAAACTACCAAAGCTATATTGCATACTAAAAGTATTAATACATAATTCAACATTTACTTTTGTACTTCAGTGTAAGTCGCATTTGTTCTACCCTTTCTGTATACTGACTCAAGTTCTTTAAGCTTTGCTGCTAATTGTTGTTCTTGAGTACTAACCATTGCTTCAAGATTTTGTTGTACTTGATTCAAGACTCTTTTGTACCCTTCTTCTATACGTTTACATTCACTTGACAAGAATTTCCCTTTATTTTCTCCATGCTCCTGAAATAATGTACGTATTAAATTGAAAACGATAAAATTAATGATAATCAATAAATATTTTTATTAATTTTTCTATTAAAAACTTACTTTATAATTATTCGCCGTCTTTTTCGCAGACTGATACTTATGTTTCCACGTGTCAATACTGCTTTTCATTTCTTTCTCCTTCTCTTTCAGCGCAGTTATTTCTTCTTTCAAACTTTCTTCGCTTTCTTTCAACTGTTGCAATTTCTCATTCATTTCAGCTTCTTTACTTTTTATCTCCCTAATTTCTGCAGCCCACTTAGTCATTACTTGAGCCATTAGATTTCTCTCTTCCTCCACATCATTCTCTTTTTGCTTTAATTCTTCCTGTAACTGTTCGATTTTCAACTTTCGTGCAACCAATTCTTTGTAGTAAGTTTGAAGTTTGCTTTCAATCAATTGACTAACAAACTGCTCCTTCGCTTTGAAAGATGAATGAATTTTTACCTTTTCCGCGCGCATCGATTCTTTCAAAGTTTCCACTTCCTGCGTCTTTTCATTACATCTATTTCGTAGCTCTAATAGAACTGTTTTATACCTCTCATCTAATTCCTTTCTCTTCTCGCGATGCTGCTCCGTTATACCCTTCAGTTTTTTCTCTACTTTCTGTTCCATCTCTTCGCGAACCTCTTTTATCATAATTTCCTTTATTTTTTGAAAATCTGTACCATCGCTTGAACTGCGCGGTGATAAATTTAATTCGGCAGATACTTGTTTTTGATTCTTAACGTACTGTTCAAACTGTTTCGCTTGATTCTTCAATTTTAAAACAAGTTGGTCCCTTTCTTCTTTTAGTTTTTCGAACTCTTTTAATCTCTCTATCTCTTCATCTTTTCCTTGTAAATCTTTTTCCAACTGTTTGATTTTTTGCTCCATCACTACATCACTTTTTCTACCAGCTTTTAACAAATTGATTTTACTACTTAACTGTGACACTAAATCTTTGTAATGAGAAAGTTCTTTTTCCAATTCACATTTGGAAGTTAACGCTACCTCGCTAGTTTTTTTGAACCGATTTTCAAAACTACCAATTATTCTTTTTGTTTCTGATAATTCTGCCTCTAACTGTGATATTTTTTCCTTGTACATGTTTCTTTCGCTAAATAGACTTTCACATTTGTTTTTTAACGTTTCGTTTTCCATTTGATATCGAGCTACTTTTAATTTAGAATCGCCAGAATCCTCAATTTTTGAATTCTTTTTGATACTCAATAACTCGGAATCTAATTTAGAAATTTTAGCAATTAGATCACTTCTTTCGTTAATTGCATTCTCGTATTTCTTTTTCCATGATTCCTGAGAAATTTCTATCTGTGCTATTTTTAATCTAGCCTCATCTAATTCAGACTGATATTCAGATATCTTTTTGTGATCGTCAACAGCAGCGTGTAGCTTTTCTTCTAAGCGTTTACAATCTTCTTCTAACTATAAGGACAAACATTTTTTTTTAATTTCATACAATGCCTGATTAAACACGTAAAATAATTTTCATTAAAATATAACTACCTGATTAATTTTTTCTGAATGTTCGGAACAATGATCTGGCAAGAGTAGGCTGATTTCCTGATTAGGATGAGCATTGCGTAATTCGGTTAATGCTTCCTCTTTAGCTATAACGATACAATTTTTTAGTCAATTCTATTTTTATATTATATTTTGCTTCTATAATATAAAAAAAGTTTAATATAAAATTAAACACAAATTAAATTGCACAAAACAATTACCTCTCTCTATTTCTTGGTGGATTTTCTTTGTATATTCTTCCTTCTTCTTTCTTTCATAACTTAAATCTTTTTCTAATTCAATTACCTTAGATCTGTATGTGTCACATTCCTGTGTTAATTTTTCCGCTATTTTTACTTGTGCCTGCAAGTCATGTTCATATTTTTCAATATCTTTTTCTCGCTCTTCTAGGGTAGCATATTTCTCTCTTAACATTTTGATTTCAGACTTGTGTTCACTTATTAACTGTTCCTTTGTACTACAGACATCTATATACAATTCCTTAACACGATCCAACTCCTTCTGCGTTTGTTCTAATTGCACGCTATAAATCAAAATTTTATAAATATTCTGATACATATTAAAATCAATTTTCTAATAAAATAAAAAGTTATTTATAAAATATGTACACGAGTGTTTCACACTTACGATAATTGCACTACTTCAATTTGTGCTTCTTGCCTAACCCTTTCTACAGCTTTAGCATGTATTTCTAAATATTCTTTATTGTACTCATCAATGGCGTCTTTCTCCTGTTTATTTATACTCTCTTGGTGCAACTTCTTAAGTGTTTCTTGATTAATCGATAATGTTTCTTTTAACTTTTGTTCTAACTCGGTTTTTTCTTCTCGCAAAGACTCATACTGCTTTTTCACATCATTTAAATGATTAGATAATTTTTGTATTTGAGCATTCGCTTTCATAGCTTGATCTGTAAGTACAGACTTCAATTCTTGCTCTAATTCGCTAACGCGCTTAGCGTATCGAGCAGCTTCTTGCCGACATGTATCAGCTACTGTTAAAGCTTCGTCAAGTTCTTTTTCTTTTTGCGACATGGTATTCTCTAACCGAGTTATTTCCTTCCTTTTAACCGCATGGCCAGCCAAACACCTACAAAATAATAACGTAATTCGTAATACAATACTACGTATGAACTTAAACGCCAATCTAAAGCAAAAATAATCTTTGTAATAATGATTAATTACCTCTGTAATTCTCCTCTTAATTTATTTGCAATATCGTCACATGGTTTTAATTTTGATTTATTATGAAGATCACCTAATTTCAATTGCCTAATTGAATCAGATTCATCTTCCAAACTGGTGACCAGTAACGAATCGTATTGTGCTACATCATTTTTTGCCATATCTAACTTATTCTGTAAATACATTGTTATATATTACGTATTATATAAAATTTACTTTTTTAATTAGTATCAAATATTTTTTATTACAATTTTGCATATTAAAATACCTGTATATTTTGTACAGTTTTTTGCATTTCTTCTTTTTCTTGCGTCAGAATCTTAATCTGTGCTTGTAGTTGCATTACTTGTTGAGCATTATTGGTAGTCATGAGGTTGCGACATTGCGTTTGGCTTTCTTCTAATGCCTGTGCCAGACGATTCATGGTATCCCCTTTCTCTACCATAAGCGTCTCATGTGCTCTCCGAACATCTGCTAACTTATTTTCCAATACAACATATGATGTTTCCTGTGAATGTAAAAAACTATTCGTTATATATTTGTAATGAAGTCAGAGATCTAATGAAAGTAATAATTAGAAAAGAGTATGAAAAAGTGGTTTCTGAGAATTCATCAACTTTAATACCTTTTATATTAACATGCAATACATTATAACAATGAAGCAAATAATTTTTACAACAGATATTTATATAAAATTATTGTAATATTTCAAATAAATATGTTGAAAAAATCAGAATATAATTTTTTGATAAAACAATATCAGAAACTTGCCCATATGCAGTGAGGGTTGGAATCCACATTGAGCAGCTATGACAAATATTGTTGTTATACATACTTACAGTCATAAATGCAAAATTGGTTTTCCAATCAAATGTTATAATATTTGGGTAATTTTGTATACATAAAATGATTAGTATAAAATTATACCTTTGCACTTAATTTGTCCGTCAGAACATCTATTTGTGTTTGCATATTTTTCATTTCAACAGCGTGCTTCTCTTGTGCTTGTTTCAAAAATTTCTCATGCGTTTTATCATTTGTTTGTAAAGCTTGCACCCTTTCTAATACAGCTATTTTTTGTTGCAATTCTATTATAGAATCTCTTGCAACATTTAATTCTTGTGTCATCTAAAATTTGTAATTCATATTAATTAATTTAAACATAATTTTATTACAACAGTTATGTTAAAAAATTATTAACTATAAAAACTTCTTACATTTTGATTACTTTTCTCTAAAACTGCATTCTTCTCATTAAACAATGTTATTTGATTATGGAGATCAGCAATTTCAGCTTTCGCATCAACTGTAAACAGATATAAATCTTTAAAGTTCTTTTAAAAGTAATTTTCTATTATTGAGTGAAGATTTTATTAAATCTTACCTAGTGCATGTTGCGTTTGATTTCTGGACATACTCGACCTTTCAATTTCTGCTTGTAAAAGTGTAATTTTCCTACTAAATTGACTTTTCTCTTCTTCCTTCTGTAATTGTAATTGCTGTAACTCATCTGTTAATCTTTTAATTTCTCTCATTCGAACTGTATATAAAACTTCTAATTGTTCTTTACTTTCATACTCTGCTGTTTTATAAGCTACATTATCATCTTGTGGCCTACCGTTTGGACTCGTTTTATAACAATGATTAACATGATCAGAAGTAACATTATCTCCACCGCCAAACTCATGAATTTGTTTACATTGTACATTATTTTCATAACCATCGATATACCCGTTATTCGAATAATTTTTAGTTTGTGCATCATAATGATTGGCTGGTGTTTGATAATTATAGGGATAATTTTCATTAAACGTGTAGTTTTCGTCAAACTGAGATCTTAAATTCCTAGGAAATGCTGAATTCTGTGGTCTTGATAATTCGTATGGGGTTTCAGCGGTCATGTTGTGTGTATCTTCACTTCTGTTACTTTTGGAGTATGGTGTATCCGTCTGACCATATATATTAAAATTTCTCTGTATGTCAGAGATTGAGGGACCAATTTCTAATTCTGACCTATGATTTGTCATAGTGTTCTCATAATTATTTGAATTTTCAATACGATCGTAAAATCCAAATTCATTTTGCAATTGAGAAACTGTTTGACCATTTGGTGATATGATTCTTTGAACGCAAGAATTTATTCCTTGGTTAGAAGTTTCCGCTTCCTTAGTACTATCCTGATAATGGCTACTATTGACAGAACTAATGTCATCGTCATCCTCCAAATCATCAAATGCATTAGTTAGAAGATCCTTAATCTAAAACATTAAGACTTACGTTATAACTGCAATTATTATACATATTGCTTTAAACAGAAATACTGAAGAGGACTGACGATGACAGATATCACTTTACATTGAAATTTGATAGAAATAAACACAAAATAAGATACACCTCCTTGTTACGTCGTTCAATGTCTTCTTGTTCTTCATCCTCCTCTAATCCTTGAGTATTTGTATTTAGTTGAATACTTTCTGAGCCTTGAAACAAGCTCAGACCTGGGCCCTCCATTCCTACCGTCTGGCATGCAAGAACTTATCATGAAAACCAAACATTTATGTCCAACATATTTTTGTTTATAACACCATAACCTAAACGCAACAAGTGGGTCACAGAAAATCAGTTTGAACTATGATCTTAAGTTCTGCAATAGATTACAAAGTCTTAAGAAGTTCATTGTTTATTAATCTGGACAGGTCCACTGTAAACAATCCCGAGATTATTAAACTTTTTGAACGATTATGCACACTGCAATTTCCTTGTAAACAATCTTTGAAAAGTCAAACTGCACTACAGGAAGTCTATACGCGGAAATAAGCTTTCCGAGTACACCGACTCTCCTATTGGTTCATTCGTTGAATATTACTAGCGAATGTAGTAGCGTATTTTCTTTAAAAAAGAATATATTTATATAAAAAATTAACTCGTATCGTTATGCTGACAATTACATTCGCTTCCGCAATATAAGAGGTGACGTTACTTTCAATATGAAAGCGGTAATACAACGAGTAACAAAAGCTAGTGTGTCAGGTAATGATTAGGTTATGCATGTTTTATTGTAACAATGAAATTATCATCTATCAAAAAATAAATAAAGATCAGAAAGAAAATTATATGTTATTGCGTTACAATGACAAGAAAGTATTTTAAAATATGTAGTTTTTAATAGATTATTAAGATAATATACAATTTTTTCTTTCTAATTTTCGAAGTATTGTAAACAATATGTTAAAAAACAAAAGTATATACACAAACATTTTTTATGAAGTATAATTCACACTATACATAAAACAGAATATATTTCATTTCTATTTGAACATTAAGAAACTTTCTTTTTATACTGTAACAATCATGTATTTTGTATGGCATTGATACAGTTGTAGCATAATTTTTCAGTTGATGGTGAAATTATTAGTAGCATTGGAAATGGTCTCTGTGTCTTAATTGGTATAAAAAGAGACGACACTGTGGAGGACATAAAATATATGTAATATATAATAATATTAAATTGTACAATATCTATAAAATACTGCAAAGGTGGTTTCACTTAAAAAAGTAAAAACAAATTATTATTTTTCATAGAGTAAAAAAGATATTAAATATTAAAATCTTTGATGACAATAATAATAAAAGATGGGGTGCCAGTGTTATGGATAAACAATATGAAATATTATGTATCAGTCAATTTACGTTATATCATAATCTAAAGGGAAACCGACTAGATTTCCACAGAGCTATGTCTGCACAAGAATCAGAACCATTTTACAACAATTTTCTTGCTGAACTCTGTAAAAATTATAAACCAGATTTAGTTAAAGGTAATAATTAACGAATATAAACAAACAAATTCCTATAACAATATTATGTTATTATGTTGTATCATAATATTGGATTATAATTGAAAAGAGTTGTTAATTCTTTTTTTTGGAATTAACATGTTTGTTTTTTAACTGCTTTCTACAGATGGTAAATTTGGAGCAATGATGGAAGTTGATATACAAAACAATGGACCTGTAACTATAGAAATAGAATCCCCAATAAAGTCTAATGAATCAATTCAAAGAAATTCTAATAAAATTTTAAACGCTTGAATGCTAATAAATTATGAAATTGAATATTATATTATGAATTTTAAATGTTCTGTTACTTATAATATTTAACATTTTCTCAATTAAATATACTTATAACCATTATCATTAAAAAAAATAATTTTGTATTATATAACAAGTATTATAGTAGTGTCATCTTATAAATTCAATATTTAATTGGAGAAATATAAACATTTTGCTGCTACAATTAAGATTTTTATGCTCTGAAATAAATATAATTACCTGTAGAAAACTGTTGTATTAATTGAAAATGCTAATAAATTGAAAAAGTTGAATCCTTAATATATAAGAATTTGCATTAGGAATTTTTGTAAATAAGGATTTGAGAATACTGATATAAATTAAAAACATGACAGATTTCAATTAATTAATCACATGTTGAGATATACTTCCATAATTATAAAAAAAATAAAATTCACTTAGTAGAAATTGTACTTTATTACATAAAATGCAGTTATAAATCTGTTATTTGGGATTCTGGTATAAGAGCTAATATTTAAATTGAACACAAGAAAATATTAAAAGAAATAATCTAAGATATTATCAATAGCAGGTAATATTTTAACATAAATTTTATAATACAAAGGCTGCACATGTTTTATGAACAATAACTAAAACTAAACCGTTTATTTATAATAAAATAGTTTATAATCTATTATTTTTTAAAGAATTCCATGCAGAGACACGAAGCAAAAATTTGATTTCAAATATCAGTTGATTTTCTTAGACAAATTATTTAAGTAAATTTTAAGTGCATTTTGTGCCAAACAATTGGAATACTTTTTTCTCAGGACTTTTTTAATCTATATTTTATTGGGGTACAATGGAAAATATCAATGAGCAAAAGGAAATAGAGGAACCACATATAGAAAATGTGGAAGGTATGTTATATGTCTAAAAATATAATGACAGTAAATGTTTTTTTAATTACACCTGACCCTTCGTTTACGCGAGAATCCGTTCCACGTGGATTCGTTTTACACGAATGAAAATCGCATAAGTAAAGTCTGTCAGTATAAAAAAAAACAAAAGATTGGGGAAAAAGCTGGTATAAGTTTTAGAGATACATATTTTTTTCACATAGTCAAACAAAAGAAGTAATAATAATGACATTTCAGAAAATAAAAGTACATTTTATTTGGTGTTACTAATTCAGTTCATACATAAAAGCTACCCGCGTAAATAGTGTTCTAGTTTACCGCGTAAATCGAGAGTCAGATGTATTAGTAAGTAGTAATGTTTCAATTATTTGTTAAAACAATATATTAATATTGAATAACTATGTTGATGAATAAATTAGATATTTCGCCCGAGGAAGAAAAGACCGAAAATACAGAATCGCAGAAGTCCGAAGTTCTCATTACAGATAATGAGCCACCTAATTTACAAGTATAAAAATATAATATTATAAGATTTTCCTAATGCGTTTGAAAGTTTAATGTTAAATACTCTTTTCTAGTCACGAGAAATTCAAACAGATATTATAGAGACGGAAACGGTAGAACAGTTAAAAAATCAATTAGACACCTTAATGAATTCTCTAGCTACTCTTTCAGCAGAGAAGTCTAAAATGGAAGCTAATTTTCAAATGGATAAAAAACAATTGAGAAATGAAAGGGACGAAGTAAGTTTATAGTATTCTTAATTATCTACTGCAGAATACATATCTATTGAACAAAGCACTTTTGCAGTGTGAGAAAGTAATTAAAGATTTGAGAGAAAAATTAAGAAAAGCGCAAACTTCGAATCACTCAGAAATTGAACATGTAAAATGTAAACTGATTATGGAACGCCATGAGAGGGAAAAAGAGCAGGCTGATCATGCTAAAATGTTAAAGTATGTGATATATGTATAAAAAAGTAAATATGAAAAAAATATAGTGTAATTTAAAAAAACAAAAAAAAGAAGATTTTTTATTAATGTTAGTCTTTTTTTCTCTTAGAGAACTTCAAAAGTTATTATATGATGAGCGTCAAAATAAGGAACAACTGGAAATGCGATTAAAAAGTCAGTTTGCAAATAAAACACAATGTAAAATACTAGAGGCTGAATTGGAAATAACTAGAAATAAGCTTAAACAGGCAGAAGAAGCAGCTAAAGAGACACCTCCAATTTTACTATCGCTTCAATCCGAGATGGCTCTTATGAAGAAACAACATTTAAATGCAATACATGAAGTAATTCATAAAAGTATTAAACCATACATAGGTGTTTTGCATAAGATGAAAATTAAAATCATAAGTTTATTCTATAGGAGCAAAAGCGAGCTGCTGCTGCAGAACAACAAGCCAGAGTATTAGCAATGACTCATGAATCTAGAGTGTCAGGTTTAGAAGCTAGATTAGCTGAACTTTCTGAAATCGTTGGAGGCTACGACAGACTCAGACAGCAAGATCAGCAAGCTATACAGAAGTTGAAAGACCAGTTAATCGGTTTACAAGATTCGGAACGCAACGATTGTCTTACTATAAATAATGAACCTGACGAAATTATATCCAAAATAAAAAGCCTTTATACCAAATTACTGGATTTGGATAATAAAAAGAATGAATCAGCGTATGTTAAATGTGAGTCAATTTTAAATTGAAGATCCGAAAATACGAGTTATTACATATTTGTATTTCACTTTTAGCATTACTAAACAGTTTAGGTTTGTATGATAAACAACAGGTCCATGATTACAAAGAAAAGTATGAAATTCTGATACAAGAATTTGAAGATTATAAACTAGATACATCTAAATACAATACTTCAAATATCTCGCATAATATTCAGAGTCAAAACATGACGACGCATGACAAGAATAATAAAACGCAGCTGCATATTTTGAAATCACATAACAGTAATTTAGAAGAAAGAGTACGTATATTAAATAATGAACTTATAAATAAAGAAACGGAATTGCAACTAAAATTAGATCATCAACAAAAGGCAAGTATTCTTTTTTATTTTCGACAAATATTTTAAAAGTACTATTACTATTCACGTAGAATTATATTAAGAAAATGTAATTTGGCAAATTATTGTTATCATAGTCTTTCCAAGAGGAACGAGCAAGATTGGAACATATGTTGCTTCAACGGGACAATGAATTTCGTAATAAAATATCTACATTAGAGCAACAGTTATTACGTCAACGAGAACGTTCAATGGCTTTAATTGAGGAAAAAGACAAAGAAATTTTAACTTTAAAAACATCTTTCCATGCATTATTGCCGAAGAAAGAACATTCTTTTGTAGAAAGTAAAATAGATATGTCAAAATATGAAGTTAAAGGAGAAACTGTATCTGATTTAGTAACGGGATTATTAACAAGCGACAGTCCTCCAATATTGCATTATAGTCAAGAATTAGCACGGAAAGAAGTTCAAGTATCGGCTTCTAGGAAGAAAGTTCTAGAATTGGAAGCTACGCTACGAGAAAAGCAAAGAGAAATTGTTCACATAAAAGAAAAACAGAAGGATGAGATAAAAATCTTGCAAGCTCAGATTGCAAGGTAAATTTTAAGTTTATGCAAATATTAACACTAAAATTACCGCACTCGTCAAAATGACGAGTTTCAGTTTTCTTATTTCAAAAGTGTTTAATATCCTAAATAATTTTAAAAGTAAATAATTTCACTTGAATACTATAACGAATATGAAGAAATCGACAAAAATCTATTGTTACAATTTTTGTAAGGATTACAAATTAATTACATATTAATACTATTTAACACTCAATAGTTCTAGTATTAAGAAACGAATCGCTTCTGTTATGATGTTTTCTAAAGTTACAGCAAGCAGTATATAATATTTTTTTATTATTTTAGACTCGAAGCTTGCAAATCTAGAGAAGGGGCTAATCTTGAATACTTGAAGAATGTTTTTATAAACTATCTGACTACAAATGACGTTTCTAGTAAACGTCATATGCTGAATGCTATTTCTACCGTATTACGCTTTACCGCAGAGGAATTAAGCAAAGTGAAACACTGATAATATATCTGAAACTATTTTTTGCCAGTGAAATCTCTGAAAATTTATTCAAAAAGGATTGTATTCTTGATATTCTTTTATGTGGTATACGGGTAATGTTTGCAATTATAATTAACTTAATGAACATAGGACCATTGTAAAATAACATAACTTTATTATGTGAATTATATAAAGTCACGTAACAAATTGACTAAAAAATTTAAGTTACTTATAATTTAATCATTTCCATTAATGTAAGTAAATATAAATTATATAAATTATATTTGGAAAAAGAAGATAGTGACGAAGAAGAAAAATAAGAGTGTGAAAGAAGAAAATAATGGCTCAGGTTATAAGAGTAAATTAAGTTAGTAATAAGTTTATAACAAAATCAGTGTATCCTGAAAAGGAACAATAAACATGTATCTACATATGTATGTATCTATCCACCTACTTATTTATAAATTATATTTTCAATTTTCATTAACGAGGATAAGATTACGAATAAAATGAAATTTACAGATGACAAAATGAATAAGATTAAATATTATACAAAATTAAATTATAGGGTATCGTGTAATTTATATCAGATCTATAGATAGCAGTTAAATGCAAATTTCAAATTTACATTGATCATGATATCACAGTTATATATAATTGGTAAATGTGGAACAACTTAGCAAGAGAAGTTCTTTGTAATATACTAATATATATATATATATACATGTACAGTTCGCCTCTTCCCATCAGGAACCCGCTTCGTCAACTATCCGGTTTGGTGGGCAGGGGGAGACGCCCACTCGTTGCGCTTGGCCCGATTATTATGGTGGCTAAGTTTCGGCACGTCTTTGTTACTGACCGAGCCACGGGACGAAACACGAGAAACCCCTCGCGCCCCCTTGAGAAAACCCTCGTTCTCCTTGGAGAAACACCTTGTCCTCCCTCAAAAAAAACCCCGAGACCCCTTGTGACTCTTTGAAAAACTCCTCGTGCCCTCTCGAGAAACCCTTCATGCTCTCTCGAGAAACCCCCGTGACTCCACAAGAAACTCATCGTGCCTCTTCGAGAAAACACTTGTTATACCTCAAGAAACCCCTCGAGAAACCCTTCGAACCCCTTCGACAAAACCCATGAATCCTACCAAGAAACCCCTCAAACCCCCTCCAGAAACCCCTTTACAAAGGGGTTCAAGAGGTATCACGAGGGGGCACGAAGCAGGAACAATAGGAATGTTGACTCCAGGATTTTGTTTTTCCTTTTCAGAATTCGGGACAGGTTAAACGTTTTCTTTACGTAATGAATCTAAATATTATAATTCATTGTTCATTGTCAAATTTTTATTAAATATTTCATTAATCATAAAGAACAGTCGTGTCTAATCTATTAAAAAGCCATTAAAATAGTAATTTTTAAAAATCCCACTTCCTTATTCCATATTGGTGGCGCCACATAGTGCGAAACCGCTCAAACTTCTAACCAAATAGTACCAGACAGTCTCCACTAGGTAACGCCATCAAATCAACTATATCTGTCCTTTTCACTCCCATATGCTACTATTCGCCTCTCACGTTAGCACCATCGGTCAATGGCTTAACACTAGAACTTACCGACTGGGTCAAAATGACCCACTCGTAAATTATTCTTTTACAATTATTGAAAAAATAGCAAATGCTTCTTTGCGAAATTACTGAAGAAATTGACTTAGTAACACGCAAAATGAATCATAAGTCAATTGAAGTCTCAATAGCTGTAATATTAGAGTCCCCATAGAAAAATTTGAAAACTTCAATTTGACTGTTTAGTAGTGCTAGCGTTAAAAATGCACAGAGGCAAGGGGAGACGTCCAACTCACTGTGTTTGGCCCGATTGTTATGACGGCTCAGTTTCGGCGTGTCCTTGTTATTGGCCGACTGCATTTTTGATCTCGCGACTCGGCCAGTAACAAAGACGTGCCGAAACAGAGTCCGGACAGAAAACTGTGCGAACTCTAGATGGAAGGAGGCGAACTGTACATACGTTTCACTGTATCACGTTTCTTTTGTACACAAAAGAATACGAATAAAGCAAAGCATACGAATGTATAATGTATGGTATACATTTTAATTCTTTGCACTCGAGAGGTGACTCTCAGTCACCACTTGATTTGATACAGCAAAACTGTGAAGTAGAATATTTAGTATTCTAAATCAAACTTTGTATTACTATGTGAAATATTTAACTAAAATAGCCTTGTTGCTTAATTTGTCTGTGAATTATCGTTAAATTAGTTTCAAACAATGTCGTCTATGTTTCGTCGGAAAATGTTGAATATTTCCAGTGAAAGCTTTCGAATACAATGGGTTAATAGATCGACTCTGATCTTAACACGCTAAGCGCCACGAAAATCTTAAGCGTTTTCCCGGTGGGGGTTTCTTTTGTAGCAAAAAAAAAGGGGAATAATTATTAATTATTTGACGTTACAATATTTGCATTGCACTATTATTAACTTAGTTACGTTATTAAACATTTTCATTTCACATCAGTTATGTTGTATGTTTTCTTGATTATCTTGATTGTTTTCTAATCATTCAGAAGCGTCAGTCACCAATGACTGACATGACGCTTAACGTGTTAAATATACGTTGTCGCTATCAAAATAATAATCCTAAAATTAACTCTGAAGTCTTATCAATTTTCTTTATGTCAAATCATCCCAGAAATTAATCCTTTGCATCCGAGAGGTGACTCTTAGTCGGCATTGGATCCAATGAAGCAAAATTATAAACTTTAAAATTCAATTTTCAATTTTGTATTAGGTATCAACATGTGAACTATAGAAATAAAATAGCTCTTACCCTTAATTTATGTAAGGTTTTTTTTATGTTAGTTGTAAATAGTATTATCAATATTTCTGCAGAAAATTATGAACGTTTGTAATGAAAAATATTGTCCAGTGCAAAGGGTTGACAACATACAGGGTTTTGCACGCGCTTTTCGTGAATTTCATCGTAACAAAGAACGACTGAACACGTGACAAAATTGAAATATTTTTTGGCAACAGAATTGCACAACTTACCAGTAAGTTCTTTGACAAATATAAATAGCATGCATTATCCGGACATCTATCAGGATTATAATAAATATGTGCAGTCTGTGCGTCGGTTTGTTTCCACAAATGACTAGATGATCATGGAAGCAACTAACCGAATTACTTACAGATTTGAATTCCACGCTTGCGGGGCAAGCGATTAGTGTTCTCGGTAACGTGATAATAAAATATAAATAATACGATTGAACGATCAGTGGTTTACTTCAGTTTTACATTACACGTCTCGTTAAATATTACTTTCGACATTCTTCGAAGAAGTAGACGACCCGTGCGAATGCTTACACTCTGGAAGATTATTAAGAATTGTTAAATCGTTGCGTGCCCTTCCATCCACATCACGGTTCCAAATAATCCTCGAACCGTGGTACAACACCGGCTCGATTGTTGTTTTCTCAGAACTCAGAACGTCGGCGATTGTCAACACAGATTACAACATTTTTATTTGATAATTCTTGTTCATTATTTTATAATTAGACATCAGTATATAATATATATGCCATTCTTTAATATATACTTCATGAAGAATATTTCTTACGAATAATATTTTATATTCTTATCTGCTTTCTGGAAATTCGTAATTGATAATCCTGCCTAAGGTCTTTCTTACTCTCTTTCTCTTGTGCTTTCTTATTACATACATAGCGGTTAATTGTTAATAATTATTAATGTACAGAGGCCCTTAAGTAACATTTTCCCCGAGAACAATGCATTTCCGTGTATGTCTGGAATAACATGTCTTTGTGCACCACGCCGAAAGTGTCAGCGCCTTCGAGACAACTGTAGAAGTTCATTTCTTCTGGAAGGGGGACCGAGAACTGTTAGAGCTAAATAATCGAAATTTTTTCAGCGGTTGATGCTTGCCAGGTAAGATTATTTTTCTTCTGCCATTTTCGGGTCAAAACAAATTCTAAATTATCTGGGAGTTAATAAAATGAAATACGGATAATACCATGAAAAATCTAAATTGAAGTGAATCGAAAAAAATACAAATATTACCAAGGAAATGATGAATGTAACAATAAAATCAAAATAAAAAAAAATTATTTAGGTGCATCTGTTCCGATGGAATTCCAAATTAATGTTAAAGAATTATTAAGATTATAAAAATTAAAATATTTTTAAAACGAATATTTCTTTTCATTTTCGTAGAACAGAAAACAACGAAGTGCATCAAATGCGTTCAAAATTTTGCTTAGAAAAGTATTGCTCAAGTGCAATATGCCAGTTTTTAATTAAAATGACGTATTAGAGGCTGTCTTAGAGAATATTTAACGCATATATATCTTTTATTATTAAAATATCAAAATTTGTCTTGTAGGTCGCATGATTTGGAATGTGTTTTGTCTTTGATTCTGAAAACTATTTTCAACCTCTGCCTGTGAATACTGGCAAATATAAATAACAGACTATTATTCGAAAAATCTCTCATACATTTTACGACTCTTCACTGTTTACTTTTCAACCCTTCACGGAGGGAAATTAATTATAATGGACTATAATTTAAACTTTTTAGCACTCTTTACAGCTATACTTAATTCTCAAAAGTAAGAAGATAATAATTAAATAATACCAAAAAGAACAAACATGATTGCTAAGAATTTTAGAGTCAATATCATGCAGAGACATCACTCTTGCAGCATTAAATTGGAATTTCGAAAATTTGAACAATATTTAGATTTGAATAAAAGAAGCAAGTGAATCTTACTTGGCAAGAAACTTTCAGTGCCCTAATCATATCGGGCACCATCGCGACGAAAAATGTCCGGTTACTTTCACATTTCCGTTCGTCGATGCACCCTTCGTTATCAACAAGCTTCTCGTCAACTGCGACGGAGTTCACTTCTCGATTGATCAGTAAATGTTTTTATTATAATCTTAATACAAACGCTAACACAATATCTCATTTGTAACAATAATATCATACCGCATCGTATCGTATTAAAATTATAATAAATCTGAATTTGACACTGAGTTCATCACAATGAAACGGCGTCTCGTGTTAAATAGCCCTAGCTGATAGATATTATTCAATGTACCTTAATCCCTACTGTTCCTTTTCTCTTCTCCTTCGTTTACGCGTATACGAAGCCTCTAAAAAGCAAATAGAATCGTCGATTAGTTAAATCGTGTTACAAAGAAACGAAACGATCGTCGGAAACGGCGACGCGTCTTAATCGATGCGCAATGGCGTCCAGGAATGGACGTCAATTTTATCCTGTTCCATTTTTATCGAGAGACAAATACAACGAACAGCCATGGACTATCGATATAAATTATATTATATATTACACACGTAATTAACCCCTTGCGATCCTATTCGACTCGAGAGTCGCTCGATAAATT